ACACACACACACACACACACACACACACACACACACACACACACACAGGTTATGTCAGACAGACACAGAGGCTGTGACTCTGACTGGTTCCACTGCAGACATTTTGTCTGACGGATATGTGTCACAGTCCCTTCAGAGGACATAAAGGTATATTCTCAAGGACAAGGCTGCAGTAATTTGCATCTGCAATCTGTAAAAAAAACATCACATCTAGTCAGTACCAGAATGAGATATTTTCATGCGTGTGGGTGTTAGTCACATAAAACATGAAAGCTATGCACACAGAGCCACCGTCACTGACTGTGTGTTACAGTCTGCCGATACCGTGATATAACCTCCCAACAGGAAATAGAATAAACCCAGAAGAAAGTCTCCTGCTGACAGGAAGCCTTGCGTTTATCGGAGGCCTTTACACAGATAACAAAATGATTCTGCAACCTCGGCCTGGTGTGTGTGTTTTTTTGGGGGGGCAATAACCTGTTATAGACTGAGGAATGTCATGATGGCTGTGTTGCTGCCGATTTCTTTCTTTATTAGACAAGGACAGAGTCAAGGACACTCGGTCTAGTAATGGAGGCTTTGCGCAAAGTAAAAAGGCAAAAACACATTTGTGCAAACGCCTGCCTTCTGTCGTGTGTGTGTGTGTACGGAGGAAGCATGCATGTACGCCCCACCAGTAACAGAAAAAGGTGAAGACATCAAGTAAGAAGATGTAGAGATGGATAGCACAGGGAGTCTGGAAGTGGATGAGAGGAAATGGAGCGTGAAAAGCGAGCAGGGACAGAGTGACACGGGGGGGGGGGGGGGGGGGTCCTGTACGACTAACAGAGGTATGTGCCTCTGAAGAGGGCTTTGCTTCAATTCATCGTGCCTCTCCAGCCAAGTCCTGGCACAAACAAGGGTGGAGAATCGTGGAGAAAAGGGGCTGTGGGAAAGGGAGTGAGGGAGAGGACTTTTTAATTTATCCATTTAGCTCTTGGCATAGTTTAAAAGCTTATTGATCGGGGAGCGCTGCCTCTTTTGCAGACACACACATATTGGTATTTATGTACACACAGTAGCATCTCAAGAAAAACATACATGGGGTGGGGCTGCTAGCCTGGACAGCTAGAGGGGGGAGAAAGAAAAAAACAGGGAGAGCACTGCAATGGCAGCAACCCCTCTTCATCTTTGGTTAGTTGGACAATAAGTGTATGTGTGTGTGTGTGTGTGTGTGTGTGTGTTGTAGATGAGACTGGAATACTGAGTAGGGGTTTGTGCTTTGAGGAGAGGGGCTCCAGGAGGTTGACCGGGGCAAACATGGAGGTAAGCACTTGGGTTTGGGTGAAAAAAGAAAAGAAAAAGGAGAGCAGCATGTCATGCTGTTCCTCTTCCCGCAATCCCTCTCTTATCAATCCCTCCTCCCCCTCCCCGTTTTCCACGCCCTGCCGGGAACGACATCCATCACCCCTGAGAGCAGCATTACAGGGCAAGAACCACCCAACAGCCTGCAAATGGATGTAATGTATACACAAGCACATCCACGTCTCTTATGCATGTTCTCCAGTGGGATCATCCCAGGTACGTGCCCCCCCCCCCCCGCTCTACTTTGACACAAACACAGCCCGCATACAGTAAGCATGTGTGTCATTGAAGCAGTGGGTTGAAACTACAAACTCAAGTCTCTGCAGGGAAGGGAATGAGCCGCCACAGGGGTTTTAGTGTGTTGTCGCTAAAGTGAGTGTGTGTGGAGGGGGGGGGTGACCTCCCTGTTTTCAGTGATAACAGAATAAGGAACACAATGCTAGCACTATGCACCATCCACAGCCATTCACAGGCAAAAACATTCCTGCAGTTATATGGATAAACACAAACAGCTACACATTTGAGATGTTCAGAAACATGCATCCTAAAAAACACACAAGTACCAACAATCGTGCTGATAGGACAGCCGTGCACTGACACACACGTACGCATCATTTTGGTTGTGGCATCTGCAGATTACCGTAAGCACTGCACACATGCATCTTTCATATCACCACATTAAAATCCACCACTGCACCCTCAGCATGTTTAGGCTGAGCAGACTGCACACATGGGCACACACACACACACACACACACAGAGGAAAAAGCCCCAAAGTGAAGGTGGTGACAAGCAAAGCCAGGAAAAGACCCGCACCAGCTTTCCCTTCCTCGAGCCAGCTGCTGTCACCTTCTTTGGGGGAAACTGCACAACAACCTCCAAACCCTAATCTCAACCAGCAGCCCCTGCTGCATGGACCCAGCCAGGTGTGTCAAGGCAGGCAAGATGCATTTGTCACTCACCACTCCATTCCCTGAGCATGCAATCTGGTCCAGGTCCAGAATAGCTGACATGTTTTTCCCACGCAGGAGAGGAGTGTGTTATGCTATGTGCAAGTGTGTGCTGGTCAGCTTTGAAGATCTCCAAAAAGGAGGAGGAGGAGGAGGAGGAAGAGGAGGAAGAGGAGGAAGGCGGGAGCGCTGGTAGGAAAGGGAGGGATGTAGGGTGATGAGGCTAGAGCAGCAGCGACAAGGAAGAACCAAGAAGAGAGGGAGGAGAAAGACGCAGCGGAGTGAGGAGGAAATGGGTAAACAATCTGAATGGAAAGCAGAAGAAGGGGGGCTGGATAAGATGCAGAGAGAATGAGAGAGAGAGAGAGAGAGAGAGACACGAGGTGGGAAAGAGAGCAGGAAAAGAGACTGAGGGGGAGGAGAGTGAGACTGCAGTTTGAGCTTTAGTAGTCACAGAGCGTACGTACATCCAGCCACCGGTGCATCTAATTGGACTGCGGAGGGTCAGGTGGGTAGAGGGAGAGGGTGGGGCTTAGAGGAGAAAAGAGAGAAGGAATGGGGGGGGGGGGGGGGGGGGGCAGGGGGGGGGGTGGGGGGGGTGCGATGAAGAGGAGGTGAGGGGGTGCAAACGATGCAGAGGCAGTCCTGTAAAAATGGGCAGGCTGCTGACGTCACAGCGTGATACTGATGAAGTGAGGGGAGAGGAGGCTGACCTGGACGGTGTTCTGCATCAGCAAAATGGCTGCTGGTCACTGAGACTTTAGCAACAATTGTCTCGAGGTTCACTTTGGCCTCACCTTGCTGAGGGAGACGACTGAGTGACCTTGGCATCCACACTAGAAACACCTCAACATGAATACGCAACAATAAGACCCGGTTAATAACTTCTATTTGACAGAGTTACCCAGCAGGACGAGCGTGAACTGCAGCAGCCTGATGTACACAAAAATAGCTTCGCAGCAAATGTTGGCTCATCGTGTGTTGACATTCAGACGATAACCCTCGTTACGTTCTCGGCTTACCAGAAAATAAACCCACAATGAACTATTTTTATTTACATTGACGACCCTACATGAGAGGATCCATTTCTTCTAAACCTGCCTCTGAAGCATTTGATCCTCGTAGTTTATTGATCTCTGTTTTTTCCCTACTCTCCTCTGCCAGCAGTGCTTGGCCTCACGCCTTTGTTTCAGACAGGCTGCTCTGTGCAGCCAATGGCACACATGCAAGCAGCACAGAGTGGGCGGGGTTAAGGAGAGAAGGGGCGCTTCATTGGTTCGTCTTTGTTGCAGCGTGTCTGGTTGTGTGCTGATGTTTCTCCTCTAAATGTTTCTTGATCTAACACACAGAGGGTGCCACTGACACAACATGCAGTGTCTGCACATTACGAGAAATAAATAACTCGACGTACGGTTCAGACAAATAAAGTAACACAGGTATGAAAAATACACATATGGTCTGTACAAAAGGATGCCACAAGAGAGGAGCATCAGTAGTCTCCTTCAAGCCAGATTGTGGCGAGAACATGACTAATTGTACGTACGCAGTGTTGTTATGCCAGATTATGGTGGACATGTGATTCGTCACATCGGCTCATGGAGATGATGTGTCGTGACTGAACTTATGTTTCTAGCCTTTCCTCGACAGAGCCGGTTTGTGTCACACACACACTGAGTCATGTCTCAGCAGGACACTGCAGTCAGCGGAGAGACGCTCTGGTCTGCAGAGCTCAGCTGAATGCAGAGCTTTGCATTGACACAGCCAGCGTCTAAGGTTTTATGTCCGAGCATATTATAAAAACACACAAGCTCAGGGGAAACATTTGGTATTAAACCGTCGAGCACATGACACGACACAGCATGTTACATTACATGGTCAACTCTATCCTCTTCTAAGATGGTGACTGAGCAACACCTGTGCACTACTCTACATTTCTGAAACAGACGATCAACACCGAGAGAAGCACAGCAGACGATAAACACATCACATGAGAACATCGTCCTCCAGCCACACAGCGAACAGACTTATGGCGCCCTCTGCTGAGCGCAATGAGACGGTGATTTAAAAAGCCAAAGACGTGACCTGGCAGCAGACAGTTTCTTCTAGTATTTGTGTTAGAATGAATAAGAGAAGAAGTAGAATCAAAATCACAAAATGTGAAACCTAGTGAGTGATTACTATCAAATGTTACGATCTAATAATGACAATTATGAGCTCACGAAACATCACATGCATCCAGATTCAATGGATGCATCTCAGCCTTTTTGCTTCCCCACAGCCAACACCATCAACCAACTAAGATGTTCTATTTTCGAAATGTACAGTCGGCCATTTCCACGAGGTGAGTCAGTGTTCATGGGTGGGTGAGGCTGACTCACACCTTCCTCCCCTCAGTGATGTGAGCAGCTTAAGAGACACAAGACTGCAGCACCACACCCTCCAGCTTCTCCTCTCTGACCCCACCTCACCACCACCACCACCACCACCAGCACCTCTCTCGCTCTCTCTCTCCTCCTGCAGGTGCAGACAGTGTTGACTGTGACCGTTGCCGTACCCAGGAACCGCCTGTGGCAGGCGCTGTAGTACCAGTCAAAGAGGAGAGCAGCTGGATTTGTCCTCCAGCTGCTGGAATGTCACATCAGTGCTCAGAGTGACGGTGTAGCGGTGAGGACGCCCTCCCCCAACACGCATACTATATATTCATAGGGAGTCTGCTGCTAATGCCGTATACTGCATGTGGGCTCCGGCTGTTCTTGTATTATTAAACTGGGAGTCAGGAAAAATGACGGACCTTTTTAGAACTGGCTTTTTTTTTTTAATAACATCAGAATGGAGCTTATGTCAGTTCATCTGAAAGCAGCAAGACGAGCCTTGTCCTCCACTTAAACACAAAAACGCACGAGATATAAATTCCTGTTTTTTTTCACATCATAAATTTTGACTTGTAGGAAAAAGCTCTGCCGTTACTCATAACACCTCTAAGTGTCCCAGTAAGCCATGACAGTGCGACAGTGAGTCGGCATGCACATTACCAGGACCATGTGACTGAAGCAGCTAAAAGTAATTCGGTCATCATTGATTTTTTTATCAGTGACGTGAAAATGTCTTCAACAAATCAAAAAGGCCTATTATCATTATGTGTTATATCTATCAAGTTATCACTTAAGTGTTGAAGTAGTGTTATTTAAATGGATTTTTTTTTTTACAAATACCCGTTGAAGAATCAGCAGTTTAAGGATGTGTCTTAATCATCTCTTCAAGACTCTGACCGTGTGAGGTCAAAATGGCTGCCATGGAAATAAGGTCAAATACACGCAACCCTCGATACCACTGGGACAAATCCTGGAACACGTCTTTCCTTTAAGTGCAGCTGCAGCAGCTGCACTGAATCAGAATAGGATGTGTGGAAAGAAACACTACACACTGAAATTACCTGAGTGTTCATTGTTTTTAGTGACAAAGCAGACCGGACTGGAGCATGTAGCACACCTGCTCCAGCTAACATGTTTTCCTCTCTTTCCCCCCCCCCCTCTGCCTGCAGCAGCTATATTTAGCTCTGGTGGGATGCTGGAAGCAGCCATGACTGCAGAAAGTGAGAGAGGGATGAAAGATTTAACCCTTTGCGGCCATGATGCTTGTGAAACACAGCGTGGGGAGTGCTTGCCTGTGGGAAGTCTCATGCAAGAAAAAGATTGCACAGCGCAGAGGCAGCAGGCCGGCAAAAAAAAAAACATCAAAGGAAAGGCATCTGGAACAGAACCCACTCAAGGCTGATACTCTGTTTCCTTGAGTGATAATTATTCTTACATTATCACATAAAAGACCTGACCACAATCTTAATGTGGAAGACACTAGCTGACACAAGAGGTCTGAAATCGATGCACTTGTAGGCGACATCTCTTCCTGACATTTACTAGAAGAGGACACACTGTGAGGGTCTCTAGAGGCAACAGCACAACTCACCACGTTGTTCCTAAAGCCCTACACAGGAAGACAAAAACGGTCTGATTCCAAGAAAGACCACAAGTTCCCAAAAGTGTGTTTACTTTGAGGTATTTTGCTCTGTTGCAGGGCTTGACAGTAGAGAGTGACACGGGGAGAGAGAGTGGGTTGACTTGCGCTTAATGCTTCGTGTTTAGAATGACAAACATGCTAATCTCTAAATCTTCCTTGCCCTAAATAAAAGAAATAGGCCACCGATGTGATTGTATGTTGGCTTTTCATATCAGTATAAAAGATCCACATTCCATAAATGTAACAGTTCAGTATGCATCCATGCCAGACAAAGAAGCCCTGAACATAATTCCTGATATTAAGCTATTGGCTCACCACAAAACAGCCAAGAATCTACATTCCAACAAATAACTCGCGCTCTTCAGTATTGTTGTCTGTTTAGACTCGGGTGGTGTCCTTGTGCTTTCTCTCCGACTAGTACAATGACACAAAACAGGATTCGAAACAGGATTCGAGTGACAAACAGGGTCATAAAAATGTGTTCGACAAATGCTTTCGACTTGAGTTAATGGCCAGTGTGGTGGACGACCCTCATCAAGTTATCCTAGAAGATACCCCAAAAGCACCTATATTTTCACCATTGGTGTGCGGTAAAACTGGATTTTGCCCGTGAGGAATGTGATCAGATGTAGGGCAAACAAATAAATGGGTTCCGTGGTGGAAGGGGGGGATGGGAACAACGTCCAAATGCAACGACCCCCTTCCACTAACGCAACAAACCATCCGGGCTTTGTGTAGGAGCAGTGAGCAACACTCACCTGGCAGTCGAAATCCTGAAAGTTGCGCGCATTCTGCAAGACAAAGTAAAAGAGGAGAGTTAAATACAGCATAGGCTTATATGCCATACACATAAAGCCAATAATAATAATAATAATAATATCTATTGTACTTGTAGATGGTCGGCATGATGTGTGTGTGAAGTATTCATGTGGGAACAAATAGAATACATTTGTCCCACTTTTTGACGAGCACTTAATGACTTACGGTTGCCAATATCATTCGTGATAATTAGAGTTCAACATTTGGCATTATGCTCCAGACTATAATCATGTCTGGTCTGTTTGATTTCACCTTATTTTAGTCGAGGGATTCAGGTAAAGAACTGTGACCAGACTGCTGTACCTGACACACATTACAGCTTTAAGATGTAGATCTAGTTGTTTATGGATCTATCTATTGCTGGTTGAACCTCGCGCTTTTGAGAAACAATTGTGTTCTTCCATGCATCTTAAATCCTCATTACCACTTAGTTTTTAATATCATAACTTCACTCTTTATGCATGTAACACGAGTAACGTCGAAGCAGTGTTACTGAGAGTATCATCTCAGTTGCAGCAGGAAGCTGCAGGATAGATGGGTAGAAACGTGAGAGTGGGCAGCAATGATAAAGGAAGAGTC